AGCTAGAAACAACCTACTTAGATACTTGTAGGCCTAAGAACCCTACACGTCTTATATAGCCCTTCGGGCTGAAAAAGGACGTTAAACTAGAATAATAATAATAATAATAGTGTTCAGTTCTTTATCTAACTCTATCTTGAGCCCAAGAATCTTCCTGTAGATGAGCGAATTCTCCAGATTAAATGACTATTTCGCCCAATCCCAAAACGACCTCTGCCATGAACAACAGCGTCATGCATACTAAAACTCACACCATGACTTGGGCCAGGTCCATGTCTAGGGCCGAATGTAATACCAGCCTGGTATGGGACCGATACTTGAACCCTAGGAGTTGTTGTGTCGAAATTCACACGTAAAGGCCGTAAAGTGATGTCTACACTTCCACTAACAGTTGTATCCGTGATTCTAACGTTGTCAAAGCCAAAAGATCCAGAAACGTCTCGACGTCCTAATTGCCCTGGAATCCCGGCTCTAACAGTGTACGATCCTCCCACTTCCAATTCTTGTGTTTGTAGTAGAACTTCACTCTCTACTGCAGATTCAGTAACCCCAACAACAGGCCCCTCAACACTAATCTCAGCGGTAGCGACCACGGCCTCCATTTCCATAAATTCGATAGTGAATTCTATTACCGCAATAGTCCCAAGGATGAGCTGGCTAGAACATTTCCATAAGATGCTAGCAAAGACAAGCAGTGGGACGAAATACATTGCTTTTACAATAATGTACAAAGAGACTATAAGGTTTTCTATATGAGTTAAGTAAATAATAGGGATAGGGAGAGGCTATACAATTACAGGATGTATGGCAAGATAGCTTTCTTAGATAGTAGATAGAGAACAGCTGGCGAGTACTCTAGTGGGTTATTGGACGCTAGTGCAAGTATATAATAGGTAAGTAGCTAGAATAGCTCAGAAGTTTTATAATCAGTGTGTAGAGAGATGTGTAGGGCCTGTAGAGGTAGAAAGGGGTCTCAGATGATCTTGAAGCATGCTAAAAACTAACAGCCACTTGATTCATTGATCCATACGGAGGTGCCTCACAAAAGTTTTGTCCCACGCTAATCTCGGCGCTTCGGCATAACTCTTCTTGGCGCAACTCCCACCTTTGAGCTGAGTAGCTGTACGATTTGTCTGTATCTATCGTTACAATGTCTCCTAATACTGATCCTTACACCCGCACCTTAATTGTGGCGTTAAAGTCACCTTCTGTTGGCAAGTCTACATCACAGATCTCTGAACTTACTGATGTTCATCCTCGTACGGTCAATCGTATCTATAGTAGAGCTATTGAGGCTGGTTTCGAGCCAAACGTTCTCCCTCTTAAGATCCTCCCAGAGCACGTACAAGACGCCCCTCGCTCTGGCCGACCTTCAAAGCAGACGGATAAGGTAAAGGAGCAGATAATCCAACAAGTACGACGTGATAGATACGGACGAGAGAAGAGCTGCGCTGACGTTGCTGGTGCTCTCAGTCTTCAAGGAGTCAATATATCACGCACTACAGTCTGGAGAGTATTAAGAGAAGCAGGATACAGAAAGACCAAGCCGACGAGGAAGCCTGGACTGACACAGGAGATGAGGAGTGCTCGTCTTAAGTGGGCGCTTGATCATAAGGACTGGACATTAGAAGACTGGAAGAATGTCATCTGGACAGACGAGACGTCTGTTGTACTCAACCACCGGCGTGGCGGCTATAGA